CGACATTGTTGGTCACGTTTCCTTGGGTTTTCTGGGCTGCCCTGCCACTGGGTCTGGGTTGGGCTGACCAATGAAATCTATAACTAATATGGTTTCTGGAAAATCTGTCATAATCTGTATCACGAAGTTGTACGAGTTAAAAGCGTGGTCTTTAAACACAAAAGGGTAAACTTTGAAAAATGATTTAAGGCAAAGCAAGAAAAGAGAATTATCCTTGAATGAAATAGCAAAGTTTTTAGATAAATATAGTCTTTGAATTTTGGTTCTATCAAAGAACTTTTTATAGAAAAAGTATTCTATTTTTGTATAATATACAGAAAAAGTAAGAAATACTCGTATATCAAGCTTTACTTTCTCTTGAGTTTGCCAACAAAAAATGACCTACTTTAGAAGTGTGAAATTTAAATGATGTCATTAGTTAATTTATAAAAAAAAAACATGACTTTAAGCTGAATTTATAAATAAACTTCATGCTAACTCACTCATAAATTTCGCAGTCAGACAACTTATAATTATAAAAGCTTCGGTAGCTGAATTCCTATTCATGGTTTAAGCAGGAAGCTATTATAATGCAACTTAGCTCGGGGATTCCCTTGATAATCAATTTGAAAAAAATACATTTTCATGTTGTGCGTGAACAAATTGAAGAACTCCAAGTGCTCTGCGACCCGAGACGATGGTCAAGGGCGTTTTTCCAATGAAACGAAAATCAAGTAACTTTGACTGACCATCACGAAATGACCAACCACAAAAATGAGAAAAAAAATACAAAATACTTCTGACCCTGTGCACTTTTCGCCTGTGAAAATCTCCCGCAGACAATGGAGAAAGAGGTTGGGATTAGAGCTGACTCACAGACGAAAGACCGACCATAAATAGTAATTTCCTGAGCTCAAAGTCAAAAAGTTTGACAATTTCGCGAAGCACTTTAATTAATCACTTTTGGAGTTTAAAAAACAATTTATAGCGAGCCCATTTTTGGTTAGTTTTTGCATTCTTCACGTTGCTAAATATCAGAAGCCAATCCGGGTAATTGTTTATTCGAGATCGTTGCGGCTATGGCTCATGCCAAGCGATTGTTGTCTCGGCTGGCCAAATTAATTGGCTTAATTTGGAAGCTTAGCTAAGCTTACCTGTTGGCTGTTTTTTTTTTTAAGGTGTTAACAATCGTGTTTGCATGTTGGTTTATAGCCAAACAAAAAAAAAATGTAGAAACAATTTTTTGGCTGTTTTAGAACGTGAATTCTGGGTAGTTAGCCACCCAGAAAACAAAAGGCAAGCAAAAAAAATGTGTTTGCTAATCCAGTAATCCGTACATATTAATTAACTTATCCGGACAGCGGCCTTCAACTTGATCAATTAGCCAAATCATGTCGATAAATATGCGTTTGGCCAATGGCCACTTTTAATTGTAGTTAATTAATGTAAATGTTTGCAACTTTACTGCACGATAATCATACCGTTCCAAGCCTATTTTTATTAATTACACGGTAACGTTTTCTCCAGGGAAATACAAAGAGAAGTCGAATGAGTGAGACATTAATTAAGCTAAGGTCAGCGCAAAAGGGGTCAGCTGAGTTTTGATTTTACCTTAATTGGGCTAATGAATAACCCGCTGGGAGCTAGCTGTACAAATATTTGAGTAAAAGTGGCTATAAATTATCACCCGCTAACCGCAAGATATCAACCTTGACTGTTGGTTAACAAATGAGCAGCAGAATCGACAAATTGGAGACAATCGGATATTCATTTCCACCGCCTACAAAGCCAGTAATCAGCGGATATCAACAAAAGAGACTATAAGATTGATCTAGATTTTGGCATCACATTTGTTCTACTTTATTTTCTGACATTTTAATTGATTTATTGGTCAATGCGATTTCTTTGAAGCAACAAGAGCTGGTAGCTCTATATTACTATATCCTATTAGAGCTGGCGTGTTCAATTCGTCATGATGTGCAATGCAACGGAAAATGTAATTGAAAATTGCTAAACCAACTTTTGATTTGATTTTCCTGTTCGACTACATAAATGTAGAGTATTTATTATTAAAAGTATGTTTAGTATTATATTATTAACAATGATAGAAAATGATGTTTAATTGTGAACAACTGCGACAACTTATTTTTCGACTTTCTGCTGCAACTTCTCACGATCGACGACTTCAAGTGTGACCAACCTCCTTCTAACGCTGCTATCTCTTGTCGCCTTTCGTTCTGTGGTGTTTTTGGGTTCCACAAACTCTGGCCACACTGCAAGTGTGTGCCTGCCGCTAACCAGTGTTACCACTCTTTACATTCGGCCCTCCTGATCTTCATCATCTGACCCAGATGATAATAGCTCGTCGTTTTCGGCAATATACCTCCACAGCTTCATATTGTCTGAACTGGTACATGTTTTATCAGGTCCTTCGGTGTCTGCAGCTTTGCGTACATCATAGCGGCCGTTTCTCTTTGCTTTAGTTACTTCGTAAGGACCCAAGTAGCAGGATGCAAGTTTTCGCCCGGCAACAAACTGTGTCCTCTTAATAGCAACCAGATCTCCTATTTTGTACTCAAAATCGGGCTTTCGTTTCTTGTCGTGATTTCGTTTATAGGTCATCTGAGCTTTTTGAATGTTCTTCTTGGCTGTGTCACGCATCTCGGCGCGTTCGACGTTGAACTGTTGGACAATCTCTTCGTTGATTACTTCTAGGAGTCGATCCTCAGCTTTGGTGAACATTTTTGTTCCAAACATCAACTCGAATGGTGATGACTTCGTTGTCGAATGCACTTGTGAATTTAGTGCCCTCTGTACTTGTGGGACGTATTTGTACCACTTGCTCGGCTCATCTGAGGATAATTTCGACAGAATGGAGACAATCGACCGATTGACTCTCTCGACTTGCCCATTGCCTCTTGCAACACCCGTCGTGACCCATACGTGCTCGATCATATTTGTTTTCACAAAGTCCGCGAAAGCATTGGATGTGAACGCAGAGCCTCTGTCACTTATGATTCGTTTTGGGTAACCAAATATGTCTACCCATTCACCCAGCTTTCTGATAACTTCTTCTTGTCCCGTTGTCTTTGTTGGGAACAGCCAGACGAACTTTGAGAACGCGTCTACAGCAGCTAGAATGAACTTATACTGCTTTGCTGAGGCTTCCATCGGTCCGAGGTGATCGATGTGCAATGTGTGCAGAGGAACGTCTCCCTTGTCGATGCAATGCAGTAAACCTTCTTGTTTACCCAACTTTTTGTTGTGGATAATACAACTGACACAATTGGAAATCACTCTGGCTACTTTTCCTTCAAGGTGTGGAATGTAAAACTGCTGCTGGATGTTATGCATAGTCTTACGAGCTGCTGGATGACCTGCTTCGTGAGCGCTAACTATTATTTCCCGCTCCATCAGTCTTGGGACTACTATCAGTTCATTGCCTTCTGCTTCTTTGAAGAGCATCCCACCTTTGAGCTTGTAGTTATCAACAGGCGAATTTTCAAGAATTTTTATAATCGCTTTAATCTGTTCGTCTGCTTGCTGTGCTTTCTTCAGCCGTGTGGTGATTTCTGACGCAACCAGAAACACGTTCAAGGGATATCTGCTCAGGTGATCGACGTGTTTGATACTGCTTCCTGATCGGTGTTCCATGTCAATGCTGAAATCCTGTAGATAGAGGACCCACTGTGCAACTTCTCTTGGTACATCTTGCTTTGTTGTAGTTTGTTTGAACGCAATACAATCTGTGACCAGCTTAAAACGGATTCCAAGAAGATAGTGACGGAACTTCTTCAACGCCAGATATGCTGCTTTCACTTCTAAGATGTAACTGTGCTGCTTGGATTCTGCTGCCGAAGTCTTCTTGCTCCAGAAGTAAATAGGATGCAACTTTCCCTCGAAACTCTGCAACAATATGGCTCCATAACCTTCCTTCGACGCATCAGTGTGCAATTCAGTTGGGGCACTTCGTGAATATATATGAAGGACTGGCTCCCTTGTGAGCAAACTTTTCAGCTGATCTATCGCCTGTACTTCTTCTGGTCCGATCTTGAATTCGACGTCTTTCTTCAACAGGTTCGTAAGTGGACGAGCGATTTGGGCATAATTCGGCATAAACTTTCTGAAAAATCCGGTCAGACCCAGGAAAGATTGGACTGCTTTGATGTTTTTGGGCATACGGAAGCGGCTTACTGCAGTGGTTTTCTCCGTTCCCGGCCAAATTCTACCATTCTCGACGAAATGACCCAAAAAAGATATTCGCTGCTGAAGAAAACTGCACTTTTTCCACTTCATTTTCAAATTGTATTTGGCAGCTGTTTCCAAAACCTGCTGAGTCTTCTGCAAACATTCCTCTTCGGAGACTGCGTACACAATTATGTCGTCCATGTAAAGCTGCATGATGTCTTCGTTTATCAGGCCTTGGAAAATGTGGCTTACAAATCGTATGAAAGCAGCTGGAGAGTTTCGAAAACCAAACGGAGCTCTATTAAACTCGAAGAGACCTTCACGCGTAACGAATGCTGTATAAGCACGACTACTTTTCTCAACTGGCACGTGAAAGAATCCATTTTCCAAATCCAAAACTGTAAAAAACTTCGCTGCTTGAAGCTTTTCGAGAACTTCCTCGACCATGGGAACTGGAAAACAATCTGGAAGCACCATACTGTTCAGCTTTCTATAGTCCACGCAAACTCTGAGTGATTGATCCTTCTTCTTGACAACGACGACTCGGCTTGCTACGTACGACGAAGATTTGGTAACAATGCCCTGCTGGAGCCACTGCTCAACTTGTTTCTTTACAGCTTCTGCTTCTTCTGCAGAATGGCGACTTGGTGATTGGCGAAACGGTTTGACGACTCCATCCGGAATAATCTTCAACTCGATAGGACATTGGAATCGCTCTACGGGACTCTCATAGCTTTTTTCAATCAACTGTTCCACGCTCTTTTGAAACTCGGGAGGAGCGGAGACTACATGCTGGCTCTCAAATACGCTGTAAACATCTGCATCACACTCACCTACTGATTCAGTTTCTTGCTCAAGGTATTGAAAAAGAAAACCACTGGAGTCGGCCGAAAACTTGAACTTTTGAAGAAAATCGTAGCCCAGAAGCGCATTACAGTCCATTGTAAAGTTGTCTACGACCAGAAACTTGTGATCAGTCTGCAGCTGATCAACGACTACGCTAGCGTTGAAAAATCCGATTGGCTTGGTGCTTTTGTTACCCAGGCCTCGCAAAACCGACTCGCTTTCCATCATTTTTACGTTTTTTAAGTTCTGAAGCACGCTTTTTCTGACTATCGAGACATCTGAACCCGTGTCGACTAGGCACTCAACATCAACGCCATTTATTGTAATGTTCTTGAGGCGGCTGCTGCTTGTCACAACCCGAACTGTGTTTTCCTGTTGTTTTTTACACTCCCGTGAAATATGTCCAAACTCGTTGCAACGAAAGCATTTTGTTTGCGACTGGCAGTCTTTTCTTTTGTGCTCCGCAGAGCCACAATTAAAACAGAAGTCCTTCTTCTTCTCAAACACTTTCGGCTTGACACTCGCGTTAACTTTGCTTTTTTCACAGCTTTTTTCATCCGAATCTTGTACCAACTCGAAAATGTCGTACTCTTCTTTTAGCGCTTTCAGAGAATGGCAACGATACATAGCAACTTTATATTCGTTCTTTATTTGTAGCCCATTCACAACATGCCGTATTAAAGCAGATTCTTCCACGCTACCGATGTTCGCGATCTTCTTCATTTGAAGCAAATACTCATGAAATGATTCCGACTTTTTCTTTTTACGTTCGCGCAACAACTGGTGAATATCGGCACTGTTTCGACTGCATTTGAACTCGACGCTTAATTTGGTCTTCAGTTCCTCAAAATCGCACACGCACTCGGATTCTAGGAAAAGTTTGGCAGCTCCGCACATTTTTCCTCTGGCATGCACATATTTTTGTTTGTCCGACAACTCGTACGCATCCGCATTGCGCTCAAAAATTTCAAACCACTTATCAACAGGAACCGAAAAACCGTCAAATTCATTGATAATTTTTTCGAAACTGTCTACAGAGATTTTTCCGGTGCTGCGATCTTCTTTGCGCTCATCAACTTCGATTTTTAATGCCAACAGTTGAATTAACTGCTGCAATTGGTCACTTGCACCGCTGTTATTTGTCACTTTCACCTCACTACTTTTGTTTGCCGCCATTATTTTGCTGCCCTCTTCGTCTGGCACTTCAATATCCAGCAAATTAAGTTGGTTGTCTTCTTCTTCGTCAGCTTTAACTTGATTGTTCTTGGCTGGTGTTCGCCTTGTTCGCGTCATGCCTTTTTTCACAATACAACTCACAAACGATCTTGTTTAAACGTGAATATTCCAAGAATGAATTTCACAACGACGCTCGCTTCTGTCTACGTATTTGCCGTCTCTTTCACGCCAACGAATTTCACAACGACGCTCGGTTTTTTTCTACGAATGTATTTGTGCACTCCTTTACGCCAACAAATTTCACAACGACGCACGCTTCTGTCTACGTATTTGCACGATCCTTACTGAGAATTCTGAAATTCACTGGAACTGTACTCAACTTTGCAACTTCCCGCAACAGAATTTCACAACGACGCTCGGCTTTTTCTGCGAATGGATTTGTGCACTCACACTTTCCGAGAATTCTAAAATTCACTGGAACTGTACTCAGCTTTGCAACTTCGTTTCCAACTTTTTTGGCAACTTTTACGACTGTTCGGTTAATAGAATTCGATTAATAATTTCCCGACTGATCAACTTCACAACTTAATGGAAAAATTAACGAATTAATTGGCTCCGACAACTTTCAGCTTTTTCTGCCACTTTCCAACTGTTTTCTTTTCACAAATCACCTTCTAGTTCATTGGACCGGCGAGCCCCCAAATGTAGAGTATTTATTATTAAAAGTATGTTTAGTATTATATTATTAACAATGATAGAAAATGATGTTTAATTGTGAACAACTGCGACAACTTATTTTTCGACTTTCTGCTGCAACTTCTCACGATCGACGACTTCAAGTGTGACCAACCTCCTTCTAACGCTGCTATCTCTTGTCGCCTTTCGTTCTGTGGTGTTTTTGGGTTCCACAAACTCTGGCCACACTGCAAGTGTGTGCCTGCCGCTAACCAGTGTTACCACTCTTTACATAAATGTGTTTGTAAATGGGGATTAATCACTTGAGCTCACATTATTTGAAATTGTTAATTCAAGTTTAATTTTAGTTTATATTGTTTTATTCCTTGAATATTGATTATGTTGGGCAAGAGCTTCGTGTTTCTAGCAACTATGATTGTTGCTAAACATGGTTTTGGAAACATTTGGCATAGCCACATTTTCTTAATAATTTTGCCATGTTAGCCTAAAATTTAATGGTGATAAATATACATATTATCTTCAGACTTAAGTAGTAAAATCTTTGGACATATGTATGTAGTTATTATAATTAAATTAGAAATATCTTGAGAAATATCAATGTGTTACATGATCTTAGGAACATTTTCTTGGCAACATTCTTGCATCAACATATTTTGACCAACATTTTCTTGGCAACATTCTTGCATCAACATGTTCTTGTACCCTCCGGCATGTTAAATTTAAGTTTTAATACCCAGAACCTCCTAAAAGCATAATTTAATAATTGATTTATAATTTAACAAACATCCTTTACAATTTAAAAGGTACAAATTTTACCAATTTCTTACATTTACCCTCCATTAAGGAAGATCCACAAGGCACTTCACTCATCCAATGAATGAAAGGAAATTCCACATTTGATTGAAGCCTAACCAACCAATCAACCTGTTCCTTTCCCAAGTCGCATCCCCAATGATGATGATGATATATAATTTATTTGCTATAAAGCGAACGATTTCAACTCTGCCGCCATGTATTATGTATGTGCAATCAGTTGCAACAAGTGCACTGTAGCCTAGCCTATAGAGAGACAGGTTCAGTCGGTTATAGCCATATTTGTCAACCCCCGATTTTGCCTCCTGGCTCTAATCCAAGTCATTTCATCTATGCAGGCGTTGGGATTTTTAAGTCTTTTGTGGCTTTAATTCAACACGCGTCACCTGGCCTACAAAAACAAATAGTTTTGGTTGCAGCAGCCGGTGAAACTTTCACTTGGGCGGGCTCCTCATACATATATCACTTGCTTGATAATTAGACCACTAATTAAACCCGAATGCCGACACTTCTTGGCCCAAAAGCGCCAGGTGGGACACATAATTTTACTAAGCCCCGAACCCGAAACTTCAGCAATAACAATACCCAATTATGTCACGCTGTCAACTGTCATCGGGTGAATATATATGTTTGAATCTTAAGAGGGGGTATTTTGGTTTGTATATACTTCAGGTAATATTTTAAATTTTTTGGGGAATTTATTAATCTTGGAAATTTTGTTTTATTATGAAATTTTATTATTTATATTCGCCTTCAAAAAGAGAAGGTTTTTAAATTAATTAAATTAAAAATTATGTTAAGTTATGCAATTAAAAATCAAATGTGAATAAATAGTTTTTGAAAGCTGATCAACTCTAATATGTTTCCATTTTGTAATAAAATGTTATTCATTTATAAAAGACACCTTTAAGATCCTTTTTAATGACAATTTCTTATTCTTTATTCTACAATTTTCATAAATTTTTATTCATATTGTAGTTATAACAATTTACTCACACTAAACCAGGGTATTTAGCCTTCGAGTTGACCAAGTTAATGGGCTTTTTAGCTTAAGTTACGCACGAGCCCGTCATCATTGCACTAAGTATATCAGCCAGCAATTTCTGAGGTGGCTCTTAGGCTCAGTTACAGTTACAGTTGCAGAGTCAACAATAACAATAACAATGGCAATAACAATGGAATGTCTCTTACCAAATGCGGCGTTTTGTTGGCATTACACATCATCTACTAGTAAAGCCACCACCCCACCCTATGCCTCTCTCTTCACTTGCTCGTTTTAATAATCATGAAAAAACATCGCCCCATGTGTTGACATTTTTCATTTAAGGCTTTATTTGGCCAAAGGCTTCGTGTTTGTTGCTTGCCAAAAAATAATAACAAAATGCGTGTAATAACCGAAAAATATTCACACAGTTTACACCTTAGCCACCACAGTATATATATTTTTTTTCGCTGTACTCCCTGCCGGTAAAGGCATCTTTGCTCATGCAATTTTTGCTCGCTTCTTATTATTTTGTGGCTTTTGCTTTTAGCCCAGTTTTTATGGTCGTGTGAGGTAATTTAGATTTGGCTTGGAATCGCTGCGGGTTGGCTTATTCAATGTTTTTGTTTATGATTCAATGTGGTGGTGGCCACATTGCAACGATTTAAATAAAATTTAGTTTAATAAATTGGTCATTGAATTAAAAATATCCAAAAAAGAGACTAATCTGAGAAGAGAATGAACAATGTTTATTGTCTACAAAGGCGCTAAATTTAGATTCTTTGAGAAAACAACTTTCAAATTGGTTTTAAAAGGTATATATTTTTCCATAAAATCCATATCCATATCCATAAAATCGTTCTTTATAGGTATAGTTTGTTAACGTTCTTTAAAGACTTATTTTTAAAGCGTAGACTGTGCATAAGAATAATAAAACAAAGGTTTGCTGTGTCGTATTATTCAAAATAAATTTGGGAAATTTTAAAATTATTAATATGTTCTCTAAAATATTTCCTAAACATTTAGACATTCACTTCATATTTTGCTACCTTAATTTATTCAAAAATTTTCCATAATTTAAAACGAATTTGTCCCTAATTTCTTTTCGGCGAAAACATTTTTGCTTTCTGACTCTTTCTGAGTCAACGAAGCGCTTAATTTTCCTCTGAACTTACTTTTTGTTATATTTTCTTTGCTTTTCTTATGCAATTTTCATTTGCGATTTTACTTGAAGCTTTAATGTAAGACGTGAACTTCTTTGTTTGTTAATTAAAGAGCGCAACAAATGAGTTTCGAATATGGCATCTTTTGACTTTCAAATTTCATGTCATTAGTGGAGAGAGATGAGACAATCAAAACTTAATGACCTGAAGTTATCAAAGCGAAATTAAAAACCAATTCTTGGCACCGGTTTTGTGCCCCCGCACAATGACAATGGCCAAAAACGGGACCATCTAAATATTTTGTTAGCCACAAAAAAACAGACAGAGAGAGCGATAAATCAATTAAGTTATTATCGAAGGCGTTGAACAAGGCGTTGAGCTTGTTTCTAGCCAAGGAAATTTGCATTTGTCTGGAATCGATCGATCAGGGAAAAGTATATATACACACAGAGTATGTCTTCCGCCTGTGAAAAAGGCACTTGACTCCTTGGACAAGTTGATAACTATTCGGCTTGGAATTGTGTAAATTTGCCAAAGGCCATAAAACAATCAAATCCATTGGGTGAAAAGTGGATGAGAGACTTTACAATAAATGCAAATTCAATGGAAAATGCATGAAAGAAATGTTGATAAGCCCGATATATGAAATACCCTCTTTTGAGATAAATTATGATATTAATTATTAATAAAACTATATTTTAAGTGATGAATACAGATTTTAGATAACCAACATCTAATGTTTCTTTAGATTTCTTGGCTTTAACAAATCTAGCTCACTACTGGTTGATTGATATTAAATTAAATTACGTAAAAAGAAATGTTTAAAGATACAAAAATAATTTTTCTCTATAAATATTTGGACTCCAAGTCTTTCCACCAACGATTAATACCCTCATATGTAGGGTAAAATGAGAAAATACCCAAGGTAATTCAAATGAAAGCAAATCCGTGGGCTGGAACTGGAACCCCTGGATCGGGGGGAATCCAAAGGAAAGGAAAATGTTATGTTGCAACCGGCTCTCTCGGACGTCGCGTAATTGCAAAACAGCCCCGAGGACATTGGCTCAGCGCCGAAGATTGTTTCTCAAATGAGTTTTGCATATGGCAAGTTGTAAAAGAAAAAAAAATTTCCTTAATTAAATCCGATCAATCGCTGTTAATCAGGAAGCGGGAAGCTGGCAAAAGCCAGGCAACATTGAACTTGAAACGCGCCGGCCAAAGTTGCTGCGTAAAAGTTGTGCAACAGCTTAAGCTCTAAAGAGGCGGATTGCAAAACCTCTGTACAAGTTTTGCTTTTATTTCATTTTATTTTATTTCAAGTTTTATTTATCTACGGCAGCCATGGCAACATTGCAAATCCTGTTTTGGTCAAGGCGTTCCAAAATAATTGGGTTAAAATTCATTTAGGGACCGAATAGTACGTGTCATTTCCTCGGCTCCAAACCAAATCCAGTTTTATGTTTGAGTGCCATTTGAAGTTTAAATGGTTTTTAAGTCTTTATCTAAAAATATTTATTTAAACTGAATAGTTGGTGTGATGGCTAGTTTAGCTGTTAGAAGAAGTTATCCTTAAGAGTAAGCTCAAAGGGCTTCCGAAAGGCAAAGCTTAATGATTAAAGGAAATCTTAATATATCTCAGAGCTGGCTAAGAAATTTTGTGATTCAAGAGTCGGAGCTATGAACGAGACACTGTTTATGCTCTTTTGATATTTTTTACTCACTACAAAATTCGTATAATGTATGCTTTTTATTGTCTAAATGTCAAAGGATTAAACCCAAGAATATTAAGAATAATACAAGTTATAATAAGTACTTTATCCAGCTGGTTGCTCAACGCATTCTCCAATGGCAAAGTAGGAGTAAGCTGTATCGAAATAGAAACCATTAGTCAAAATTAAAAAAAACTAACCCTTCAAATAGACACTCACGTCGCTCATTGGTGCATATATAATTACGCATCTCACACTCATTGCTAAAGGTTATATACTCCTCCTGGAAAATCTGAGCACACACAGGATCATAGGCATCCAGACACTTTTTCACACATTTCGGCTTGCAAATCTCCTTGGTCGATTCGATAAGCTCCGATTGTCCACTATTTTTTCGGGCGCATTGCTCTACCAAGAGCAGGCACCGATTGTGGAACACATGACACCGCTCATCGGCCATGGCCCAGACCAATTCCTTTTCGGCGGAGCACTTGTACTGAACATTGCACCGAAAGAGGTTACCCTCTTGAGTCTGTATGTAACCCGGATATAGTAGCAAAAGGGCCAGGGCCAAAGCTAAAGTCAGAAAGCTGCCTCCGTGCATCTCGTGCGGTGAGTGATCAATGGAAACTGAGAACCTCTCTCCCGGTTCTGACAATATTTATAGGTGTTGTCCTAACAATTGTCAAGTTTAACCTGTTACTAGTTGTCTAGGGTTATTTTAGACCCTATTTTGTTATACATTTATTTAAACTTTTCCAGGAAATAGTAATACAAAATTTTAGAGTGGAGGTAACTTTTCATAGCCCTTCTTCTCTAACAAAAAATTCTGTTAAATAAATTCATTAATTAATCTTTAGGGAATTGTTCTTTATTTTTTTTTAAATTAAAGTTCTATTACTATGCCAACAGAGTGTTAAGGTATAAGGTATATATATACATATATCTATATAATTTGTATAGTATTATTAAAGGCAAACAATATGAATTGTTGTTGAAACCCAGCTTATTTTGTATAGGCTAGATCGTATATATTTTTATAGCCCGCAATTGAGATCTAAGATAACCAAAAACCCCTCTGACTTGCTAAATATTCTTTGAAATATGCACAAGCTGAGCTTGAAAGCTTAGTTTTCAATGATTTCATTGTGCATTTCGTATTGAATGTTATCTGCTGCACAAAATTGGATGGGAAATATTTGTTAGATAGGATTAATTACTTTAGGGGTTAGCCAATCATTCATTAAAACAAATACAAAAAAAAAAAAAAAAAAAAACAGATGTAAAACTGTGATCTAGACCACCAATATATAGACTTTAGAATTGCATTTGTATAAGTATAAATGTGGTTTTGATGTTTATATTATAGATTTAAATGCTGAAAACACACACAAAACAGAGTTTCATTACATTTTACCTATACTTATTATGTTTACAGTTTGACAGTTACAGTTTTACATTCCCAGCTTTACATTTTCTCTACATTTACCGATCGTTTATATGGCAGCTATATGATACAGTTGTCCGATTTTTATAAAATTTTTACCAAAATTCTGAAATAATAAAAAAAGCGTATATCTAAAAGTAGATAAGAATATGTTGAAAAACAACGAAGTTATAATTTTTTTCCTATTCATTTGCCGATCGTTCCTATGGCAGCTATAAGATATAGTCGTCCGATTTTCATAAAATTTTTACCAAAATTCTGAAATAATATAAAATGGCTATATCTCAAGAATGATGCAAAAATATTGAAAAACAGCAAAGTTATAATTTTTTTTCTAAAAATTTATCGAACATTTGTATGGCAGCTATATGATATAGTCGTCCGATCCGGCCCGTTCCGACATATATAGCAGTGAGAGTATATAGAAGACTATATGCAAAGTTTCATTCAGATAGATAACAGATAACTGAGGGACTAGTTTGCGTAGAAACGGACAGACGGACGGACGGACAGACGGACATGGCTAGATTGACTCGGCTGTTGATGCTGATCAAGAATATATATACTTTATAGGGTCGGAAACGTCTCCTTCACTGCGTTGCAAACTTCTGACTGAAATTATAATACCCTGCAAGGGTATAAAAATAAAAGAAATATATAAAACTAAAAAAAATATCGTGATCGTGTGCATCGGAGGCCCTAGTAGAGGATTTTTCTAATAGGGTTCTTAGTTTTCTTTGAATAAAACACAGATTTTTAACTCGTAGTAGTATTTCCTTTTTTTTATTCTTATTGAAATGCTTATTTGGGGTTTCCCCGAAAAACTCCTGTTAAAAACGAGTTCAATTTTAGTGTAACCAGATCGTGTGACTCCGATCCAGGTAATGAAAGTGGCTCAGACAGATCATGCCCACCACCACGGAGCACTACTGGCTGCTTTCTATCCATTTGAACATCTTATTATGTCAATTATCCAATTGCTAATAAAGTCCACGTACGGCGCTGACCTGCGGTGTTGTGGATCAGCGATCAGTGAAATGTGTAAGCGAGAAACGAGAAATTCGCGCTGAAATCATTTCAAAGTCATTGACACACACCGAGTGTCCGCCAACGAGTGCTTACATTTGGTTTTTCTTTTTTTTTTTCGGCAAACATTTTACTTTTTCTTTTCACGCCCCTTAACTCCCCCTCCTTGGCGTTCGCTTTCCTTCCCATGTGGTGGAAATGCAAGTGAAAAATCTTGTTTGCTGCCGTGGACATACATAAATACATTAAAAAACATTCAACATCCGCAGCTGGTTGGTCGGTTGTGTCTGGCCCGAAGCAAATTTATGGACCTTCAAATTGTGGGTCTGCAACGACGACTACGACTATTAAAACGCCGCCGCAGAAAGTTGACAAAACTTGCAAATTATGTAAAATGCAAACTGTTGCCGGCAATTAGTCAACTTGGTTGGGCTAAATTTTCCTTTTTTTATTTCTTTTTTTGGGTGTTAAATGAGTGACAGTGATGACTGTAATTGGATTTTGGGCAGCATTGGGAAAGTCATTCGGTTTTAGGAAGTTATTAACGTAATTGCTGCGCGGTTTCTTTTAGAGGAGATTGCAACGAAAATACTGTGACTTCATGTTGGTTGGAATATTTTTACATGGGATGCAGGCAGCATTCCGGCGGGGCCATCTGCCCAATCTCCCACGAAGTCACTGCCAGACAAATGCACACATTCCTGGCTCTCCCCCCTTTGGGAAATTGCATTTTCCACTGCAAATGCCGCGCACTCGAAGTGGAGCACGTTTACCTCAACACTGCCTCCTGGCTGGCTCCCAACTATGAAATATTCATCCGTGCCATCCATCCCATCTATCCCCATTTCGCATTCCCAGGTCGCCGTCCAGTTTAGATATCCACTTGGCGTTGTAATGCACCGTCAATGGTGATGTTCAGGTTGATGGCGATAATAATTTGTATGCCATTCCATCAATAAAAGGCTTTCCACGGCCTGGACAGTGGCATTTACGTGATATTTTGTGAATTTCAAATGATAAATAAAATTATAATACCAATAGATTTTTTTTAAGAGGTCAGGAAAATCCTTTTTGATGAAGCTATGGCACTGTATTCAATATACATTAAATTTTATTAATCCAGATTTTTATTAGAGCCTTAAAGAGGCAATTAATGTTTTTTTTTAATAATTGTATATTTATTTTTCAATTTTATTGATTGTCCGGAGAGGACTTCAGAATGAAAAAGTATGATTTGAAAAAGCAGTCCATTAGAACTTCCACAGGTTGGAAAACAGGTGTTAAAACCTTAACATATTCCTTAAGGGGTTATCCGGGTTTAGAACCACAAAAAAAGGCCTATTTTCCAGAACTTTTTTAAAAGATCCTATGACAATTTTGCAAATTTCATTTATTCTACATTAATACATAAGGTTTGAACTAAATTCTGTAAAATTTTGAACAAGAAATATTCACAAATGAGCCGTTGAGGGAGGGTTGAACTTAACCCTAAAAAAATTATGTCCTTGCGGTAGGCAGGATTTCTCCGTCAATTTTTATTTGAAATCAAAAAACCAAAATTTTTCTGTTAGCTTATGTGTCTGGCTTGTCTCTGAACGAAGGATTTTTAAAAAAATTAAAAATTGAATTTTTGGGAGCGTTTTTCATGAAAAATTACACTTTTTACGGAAATTTTGGCCATATTTGGGGTTATAAAATCGGTTCTAATTGAAGATATAAAAAATCCTTCGTTCAGAGACAAGAAAAACATGTCTAGAAGAAGTGTGGAAAATCTGAAGTCGATCGGTCCAGTAGTTTTCGAGAAATCTTGACTACCGACTTCAAGAAAGTGGTTTCGAGAAAAACGCGTTTAAAGTTTTAATTGCCAGTTGTGACTCATACGACGCGCTGGACTTTAAATTTCTCCCATTCCTACAGTTTTGCTTCGATCGACTTGAAATTTTCGGACAACATTCCTGACACTTTGTACTATTATATAAAAAAGTTTGAAAAAAATGCATTTTTTGAAATTTCAAAACCCGGATAACCCCTTAATGCAGATATGACACTGTCATAATTAGATTTTTTTTAGAATCTTAAAAGAGACAACTACAAATATGTTTTAATTTTTTGTAAATTTATTATTTAACTACATTGCTTAGACCGCGGTCTCTAGAATAAACTAACATGAACTACAATAGCAGTAAATTCTTTTTAAATCAGTGTGACCGTAGTTTCAGGTCAGTTTTTGAAGGATTTCAATTCTTATTTACTCAGAACTATTCAGCTTGGTTTGATAGCTGTTTTTTAAATACAACATAAATGGAATCAGTACAATTAATCTATAAATGCGTGAAACCTGAGATCCACCGTGCGGATTATCCGACGAGTGCCAGACGTGGACGTGGATGAGGACACATTGCGAATCCGCGATGGTTCCGTCGCGTACTTTTGCTCCAATACACAAATATACATAAATGCAACTTTGCGCACGTATTTGGGATTTCGGACTTTGTCGGATCTCCAGGTATTTAAACTTCATTTTCATATCGTCAGCGACAATTGGTGGTCAAAGCCCCGCAGATATCGAGCACGCAATTGTTGACATTTCGTAAGGCAACTGATTTTTGAGGGGGAGTTTGAATGGATTCTCAGCAAGTGTTGCATAATCTGTAATATTTTTGGTACGTAAACTCAAAACGGCATTGCAACTCGAACGACCTTGCTCCCGTTCAGTCACCCAATCAGCAAGAAAAAAAACGGAATGGGACCGACGACAAACTGGTTTCTCCTTCGATTCTAACTATGTTGGTTTTGGGTAATTTAAAGATTTGCACTTACCAAATGCCAATGACAGAAGCCAGCCGCTGCTGGTCAGTCTTCCCTTGGGGATCCGCATTTCGAACACTTTTATTTTGTCGTAGAAATGTTTATTACTCGAATTTCAGGTTGGTTAGTGTAGCATATTTGTCAAGCAAACTGAAAGTATTTATCATACGCCAGAGATAACATTTAAATAATTGGATTGATTTTGTCAACGACCAAAAACGAAATTAGCATAGAAAATATTTTGTTTATATTTAAAGTGTTAAGTAGAAAAGGGGCGTTGGCTTCTTATCTTGTGCATAAATTAGTTGGGACAAAGAAAAGAATGCTTTTTGTTTT